GGTAAGACCAAAGAGGCGTCGTCTGGGAGTGAGAGTCCTCTGTGTACTCCAGGCTCCACCCCCTCCGCTCTCACCCCAGACTTCTCCCCCATCTCCCCCTCCTCACCCCTCAAGCACCGCCCCCGAAGGACCTGCATCCACCGACAGAGCGCCATGGACGACCAGGCCGAGATACAGGTACAGTCTCACCCCAAACCAGGACTGAGACCAGGACCGAGACCAGGACCGAGACCAAGGCCGAGACCAGGGCCGAGACCAGGGACTGAGACCAGGGCCGAGACCAGGGACTGAGACCAGGGCCGAGACCAGGGCCGAGACCAGGGCCGAGACCAGGGACTGAGACCAGGGCCGAGACCAGGGACTGAGACCAGGGCCGAGACCAGGGACTGAGACCAGGGACGAGACCAGGGACTGAGACCAGGGCCGAGACCAGGGACTGAGACCAGGGCCGAGACCAGGGACTGAGACCAGGGCCGAGACCAGGGACTGAGACCAGGGCCGAGACCAGGGACTGAGACCAGGGCCGAGACCAGGGCCGAGACCAGGGCCGAGACCAGGGCCGAGACCAGGGCAGAGACCACGGAGTGAGACCAGGTTCTCTGCCGCTTATGTGCCCTCACCCCCAAACTAGAGCCCTGCACGGGCCTATTATCAGGGCCCGAGCCCAGCCCTGGCCCGAGGGGGTAGCCCCCCAGCACGGCCCTGGCCCGAGGGGGTGGCGCCCCAGCCTGGCCCTGGCCCGACATGGTTTCTGAATTCTCAGGCCGAAACCTGAATCAAGCACGACTTTTTTTTTACCTCCAATAACAATGTTGTAGCGTAATTTTTTTAACTGCCTTGTCCCAGGTTAACTGCCTTGTCCCAGGTTAACTGCCTTGTCCCAGGTTAACTGCCTTGTCCCAGGTTAACTGCCTTGTCCCAAGTTAACTGCCTTGTCCCAGGTTAACTGCCTTGTCCCAGGTTAACTGCCTTGTCCCAGGTTAACTGCCTTGTCCCAGGTTAACTGCCTTGTCCCAGGTTAACTGCCTTGTCCCAGGTTAACTGCCTTGTCCCAGGTTAACTGCCTTGTCCCAGGTTAACTGCCTTGTCCCAGGTTAACTGCCTTGTCCCAGGTAAACTGATTGAAAAGCTCATGTCTCTGGGTTTAAGTGTTGCCAAGTGTAAATGGATTTTTATCTTTTTAACTGACAGATCTCAGAGAGTGTTTTTCTGATGTTGTTTCTGTGAGCACTGGTTCTCCTCAGGGATGTATTTTGAGTCCTTTGCTTTTTACTTTGTACACTCACGATTGTGTGTCCTCCTCTGACTCAAACTTGATCATCAAATATGCTGATGACACCACCATCATCGGTCTCAACAGTGACACTGATGAATCCTCTTATAGAGCAGAGATACAAAATGTGGTTCAGTGGAGTCAAACTAACAACCTCCAGTTGAACGCATCCAAAACATGTGAACTGGTCTACGACTTCAGTCGCAATAGTTCTCATTTGCCTGTCGTAATCGACAACTCCCAGGTGCAGATCGTAGAGGAGCAAGTTTCTGGGTTTAACTCTGTCTAACCTGAAATGGGTTAAAAACACTGACCGAGTCATTAAGAAAGCTCGTCAGCGTCTCTACTTTCTGCGTAAACTTAGAGAATTTACCACTAACTCTAAGATTGTGCTTAACTTTTATGGCTGCACCATTGAGAGTTTACTTGTTGGTTCTGTGTCTGTGTGGTTTGGAAACATCACAGATAACGAAAAGAGAGCTTTAAACAAGGTGCTCCGCTCTGCAAAGAGGACCGTGGGCTGTGAGCTTCCTGTTCTGGAGGTTCTTTATAAATCTACACTTTTAAACAAAGCTCTTAGGATTGTTAATGACTCTTCTGGCCACCCTGGGAAAGCCATGTTCCAGCTTCTTCCCTCTGGCAGAAGATATCGCTCTCTGAGATGCAGGACATCTCGTTACGCTAACAGTTTTTATCCACAAGCTGTTATCAGTGTGAACAGAGCACTTTAATGATTTGCACTTGTTTTGAACTGTTTTAGTCGATCCATTTCACAGTGACATTTGTTTATTGTTTTATTTGTTTTATTTCTGTCTTTTAATGTTGTTTTATGTCTGTATTTGTCTGTGCACACTGGAGACTTTTGCTAATGTATTCCAATGTGGTTTTACTGCAAATGGCAAATAAACTGAATCTGAATCTAATATATAGTGCGGCTACAGGGCGGAGTTATACAGCTGTATGATACACAGCTGTATGATACACAGCTGTATGATACACAGCTGTATGATACACAGCTGTATGATACACAGCTGTATGATACACAGCTGTATGATACACAGCTGTATGATACACAGATGTATGATACACAGCTGTATGATACACAGATGTATGATACACAGATGTATGATACACAGCTGTATGATACACAGATGTATGATACACAGATGTATGATACACAGATGTATGATACACAGATGTATGATACACAGCTGTATGATACACAGATGTATGATACACAGATGTATGATACACAGATGTATGATACACAGATGTATGATACACAGCTGTATGATACACAGATGTATGATACACAGATGTATGATACACAGATGTATGATACACAGATGTATGATACACAGATGTATGATACACAGATGTATGATACACAGCTGTATGATACACAGATGTATGATACACAGATGTATGATACACAGATGTATGATACACAGCTGTATGATACACAGATGTATGATACACAGCTGTATGATACCCCCGCCCTTGTCCGAGGTCATTATACGGTCATCGGCCCGAAGCCCGGTCCTAGGGCTGTCGGGCCCCTCGGTCCTAGGGCTGTCGGGCCCCTCGGTCCTAGGGCTGTCGGGCCCTTCGGGCCAAGGGCTCAAGTGCAGGGCTCTACCCCAAACCCTCCCCGTGTCGCCCGGAGGTGATCTTGCTACATGTTCTAATTGGCTCAGGTGATTGTTGTTTGATCTTTGAGTCGAGACTGTGGTATACAGATAAACACTAACATGGTACATAACCTGTGCAGGTGCTGGTGGAGGGGCGGGGCCTGGAGCTGCAGAGGGGCGGAACTAAGCACACCTGGGCGGAGGACAGGTGCAGCAGCCGCTCGACCACGCCCTCTCTGCTGGAGGAGGCGGAGCTTAACGGCCACCAGGCAAATCACAAACCACCAGACCCCACCCCAACCTCCAATCACACGCCTCGAGACTACCATTCGCTGTCCAATCACACCACGCGGGAGTACTCCTCGTCCAATCACAGGACATGGGACCACAGCTACCGGCCCCAGCTGCACGCCCTGGCCAATCACACGGGGCCGGAACACGCGCTGCCCAATCACAAAGCAGCAGAGCATGTGACGTCAAATCACCACCGCAAGGACTACGGCTCGACCAATCACAGCGCGAGGGAGCATGGGAACCACAAACCACAGCACAAGCACAGAGGCCCCGCCCACAAGGTGAGAGAGGAGTCACGTGAGAGAGGAGGAGTCACGTGAGAGAGGAGGAGTCATGTGAGAGAGGAGGAGTCATGTGAGAGAGGAGGAGACATGTAAAAGAGGAGGAGTCATGTGAGAGAGGAGGAGTCACGTGAGAGAGGAGGAGTCATGTGAGAGAGGAGGAGTCACGTGAGAGAGGAGGAGTCATGTGAGAGAGGAGGAGTCATGTGAGAGAGGAGGAGACATGTAAAAGAGGAGGAGTCATGTGAGAGAGGAGGAGTCACGTGAGAGAGGAGGAGTCATGTGAGAGAGGAGGAGTCATGTGAGAGAGGAGGAGTCATGTGAGAGAGGAGGAGTCATGTGAGAGAGGAGGAGTCACATGAGAGAGGAGGAGTCATGTGAGAGAGGAGGAGTCACGTGAGAGAGGAGGAGTCATGTAAAAGAGGAGGAGTCATGTGAGAGAGGAGGAGTCACGTGAGAGAAGAGGAGTCACGTGAGAGAGGAGGAGTCATGTAAAAGAGGAGTCATGTGAGAGGAGGAGTCATGTGAGAGAGGAGGAGTCAGGTGAAAGAGGAGGAGTCACGTGAGACAGGAGGAGTCATGTAAAAGAGGAGTCATGTGAGAGGAGGAGTCATGTGAGAGAGGAGGAGTCAGGTGAGAGAGGAGGAGTCACGTGAGAGAGGAGGAGTCATGTGAGAGAGGAGGAGTCACGTGAGAGAGGAGGAGTCAGGTGAGAGAGGAGGAGTCACGTGAGAGAGGAGTCATGTAAAAGAGGAGGAGTCATGTGAGAGAGGAGGAGTCACGTGAGAGAGGAGGAGTCATGTGAGAGAGGAGGAGTCACGTGAGAGAGGAGGAGTCATGTGAGAGAGGAGGAGTCATGTAAAAGAAGAGGAGTCATGTGAGAGAGGAGGAGTCACGTGAGAGGAGGAGTCACGTGAGAGAGGAGGAGTCATGTAAAAGAGTAGGAGTCATGTGAGAGAGGAGGAGTCACGTGAGAGAGGAGGAGTCATGTGAGAGAGGAGGAGTCATGTGAGAGAGGAGGAGTCAGGTGAGAGAGGAGGAGTCATGTGAGAGAGGAGGAGTCATGTAAAAGAGGAGGAGTCATGTGAGAGAGGAGGAGTCACGTGAGAGAGGAGGTGTCACGTGAGAGAGGAGGAGTCATGTAAAAGAGGAGGAGTCATGTGAGAGAGGAGGAGTCACGTGAGAGAGGAGGAGTTAAGTGAGAGAGGAGGAGTCATGTGAGAGAGGAGTCACGTGAGAGAGGAGGAGTCACGTGGGAGAGGAGGAGTCATGTGAGGGAGGAGGAGTCATGTGAGAGAGGAGGAGTCATGTGAGAGAGGAGGAGTCACGTGAGAGAGGAGGAGTCACGTGAGAGAGGAGGAGGAGTCATGTGAGAGAGGAGAAGTCACGTGAGAGAGGAGGAGTCACGTGAGAGAGGAGGAGTCACGTGAGAGAGGAGGAGTCATGTGAGAGAGGAGGAGTCATGTGAGAGAGGAGGAGACATGTAAAAGAGGAGGAGTCATGTGAGAGAGGAGGAGTCACGTGAGAGAGGAGGAGTCATGTGAGAGAGGAGGAGTCATGTGAGAGAGGAGGAGTCATGTGAGAGAGGAGGAGTCACGTGAGAGAGGAGGAGTCATGTAAAAGAGGAGGAGTCACGTGAGAGAGGAGGAGTCACGTGAGAGAGGAGGAGTCATGTAAAAGAGGAGTCATGTGAGAGGAGGAGTCATGTGAGAGAGGAGGAGTCAGGTGAGAGAGGAGGAGTCACGTGAGAGAGGAGGAGTCACGTGAGAGAGGAGGAGTCATGTAAAAGAGGAGTCATGTGAGAGGAGGAGTCATGTGAGAGAGGAGGAGTCAGGTGAGAGAGGAGGAGTCACGTGAGAGAGGAGGAGTCATGTGAGAGAGGAGGAGTCACGTGAGAGAGGAGGAGTCAGGTGAGAGAGGAGGAGTCATGTAAAAGAGGAAGAGTCATGTGAGAGAGGAGGAGTCACGTGAGAGAGGAGGAGTCATGTGAGAGAGGAGGAGTCACGTGAGAGAGGAGGAGTCATGTGAGAGAGGAGGAGTCATGTAAAAGAAGAGGAGTCATGTGAGAGAGGAGGAGTCACGTGAGAGGAGGAGTCACGTGAGAGAGGAGGAGTCATGTAAAAGAGTAGGAGTCATGTGAGAGAGGAGGAGTCACGTGAGAGAGGAGGAGTCACGTGAGAGAGGAGGAGTCATGTGAGAGAGGAGGAGTCATGTGAGAGAGGAGGAGTCAGGTGAGAGAGGAGGAGTCACGTGAGAGAGGAGGAGTCATGTAAAAGAGGAGGAGTCATGTGAGAGAGGAGGAGTCACGTGAGAGGAGGTGTCACGTGAGAGAGGAGGAGTCATGTAAAAGAGGAGGAGTCATGTGAGAGAGGAGGAGTCACGTGAGAGAGGAGGAGTTAAGTGAGAGAGGAGGAGTCATGTGAGAGAGGAGGAGACACGTGAGAGAGGAGGAGTCATGTGAGAGAGGAGGAGTCACGTGGGAGAGGAGGAGTCATGTGAGAGAGGAGGAGTCATGTGAGAGAGGAGTCACGTGAGAGAGAGGAGGAGTCACGTGGGAGAGGAGGAGTCATGTGAGAGAGGAGGAGTCATGTGAGAGAGGAGGAGTCATGTGAGAGAGGAGGAGTCACGTGAGAGAGGAGGAGTCACGTGAGAGAGGAGGAGGAGTCATGTGAGAGAGGAGAAGTCACGTGAGAGAGGAGTCATGTGAGAGAGGAGGAGTCATGTGAGAGAGGAGGAGTCACGTGAGAGAGGAGGAGTTATGTGAGAGAGGAGGAGTCACGTGAGAAAGGAGGAGGAGTCAGGTGAGAGAGGAGGAGTCATGTGAGAGAGGAGGAGGACATTGAGTCTGAGTGGACCATGTCCTCCCCTATCACTGATGCAGCAGCTGAAGCTATGGTGCTGGTCTCTGGTGCTGGTCTCTGGTGCTGGTATCTGGTGCTGGTCTCTGGTGTTGGTCTCTGGTGCTGGTCTCTGGTGCTGGTCTCTGGTACTGGTCTCTGGCGCTAGTCTCTGGTACTGGTCTCTGGTGCTGGTCTCTGGTGCTGGTCTCTGGTGATGGTCTCTGGTGCTGGTCTCTGGTGCTGGTCTCTGGTACTGGTCTCTGGCGCTGGTCTCTGGTACTGGTCTCTGGTGCTGGTCTCTGGTGCTGGTCTCTGGTACTGGTCTCTGGTACTGGTCTCTGGCGCTGGTCTCTGGTACTGGTCTCTGGTGCTGGTCTCTGGCGCTGGTCTCTGGTACTGGTCTCTGGTGCTGGTCCCGGCGGTAGCAGAACTCGGTGGTGGACACCAGCAGTAAGGGATGCTGTCAGACTGTAGAAGGAGTCCTATCGAGCAATGATGGTTCGTGGGACTCCTGAGGCAGCTGTCCAGTACCGGGCCAAGCGTGCCGCGGCCCGGGCTGTTGCAGAGGCAAAAACCCACAGAACATTAAAAAGAAATATAAAAATATAAAATTCCTCAGTTGTAGCACAGCTAAACAGAGCTGTCTTTAACCTGGTTTTAAACATTGTCAGAGAGGAGGCCTGTCTCACATCTTCAGGAAGACTGTTCCAGATTTTAGCAGCATGAATCTGAAAAGCAGCCTCCCCATGTTTAGTTCTGACTCTGGGCACTAACAGGAGTCCAGTCCCTGTGCTCCTCAGAGTCCCAGCAGGAGGCCAGTCCCTGTGCTCCTCAGAGTCCCAGCAGGAGTCCAGTCCCTGTGCTCCTCAGAGTCCCAGCAGGAGGCCAGTCCCTGTGCTCCTCAGAGTCCCGCAGGAGTCCAGTCCCATGTGCTCCTCAGAGTCCCAGCAGGAGTCCAGTCCCTGTGCTCCTCAGAGTCCCAGCAGGAGTCCAGTCCCTGTGCTCCTCAGAGTCCCAGCAGGAGGCCAGTCCCTGTGCTCCTCAGAGTCCCAGCAGGAGTCCAGTCCCTGTGCTCCTCAGAGTCCCAGCAGGAGGCCAGTCCCTGTGCTCCTCAGAGTCCCAGCAGGAGTCCAGTCCCTGTGCTCCTCAGAGTCCCAGCAGGAGGCCAGTCCCTGTGCTCCTCAGAGTCCCAGCCAGCAGGAGGCCAGTCCCTGTGCTCCTCAGAGTCCCAGCAGGAGGCCAGTCCCTGTGCTCCTCAGAGTCCCAGCAGGAGGCCAGTCCCTGTGCTGGATAAGATCAAAATAAGATCTGTCACTTACTCCCGACTCCTGACTGAGAAAAGTGAAAGCAACTGGACGCTGTCTTGAAAGGCGTTATGTTAAATCAGGACTTACTGTGCACAAAATTGCATATCGGGACCATCAAAAACATTACTCTACCTTGTTATCTGAAGCCAAATCAACCTACCACTCTAGAATAATCAATAAAAATCCAGGAAATTCTCAACAGCTCTTTGCAACCGTAAAACAGCTCCTAAGTCCCAAAACATCCGCTGCCATCTGTGAAACAGAAGCACAATGCAATAAATTCAGTGACTTTTTCGCTCTCAAAGTTGACACCATCCGTGGACCCCTCGGTTTCCTCTGCCCCTGAAAACACCCTGGCAGCCTTTGAGGAGGTGACTCCGCAGGAGGTCGAAGCAATTATTCGAAAAATGAAGCCAAGCACATGTCCCACTGATCCACTTCCCACCATCCTGTTAAAATCTAACATCCCAGAACTTAGCCCGCTCATTACCACAATTATAAACTGTTCCCTTCGCACTGGCACTGTCCCCTCTGCACTCAAAACCGCACTCATCGGACCACATCTTAAAAAACACAACCTCAATCACGATGACCTGGCCAGCTACAGGCCCATCTCCAACCTTCCATTCCTCTCGAAGGTTTTGGAGAGGACTGTAGCTGGCCAGCTCCACGACCACCTCCGTGCAAACTCGCTTTATGAAAAATTTCAATCCGGTTTTCGTTCTGCGCACAGTACAGAGACAGCCCTGGTCAGGGTCACCAATGACCTCTTGATGAACTCTGACCAGGGCTCCCCCTCACTTCTCATCCTTCTTGATTTAACAGCTGCTTTTGATACGGTCGATCACAACATCCTGCTCCACCGCCTACAACACAACATTGGTCTGTCCGCAACAACTCTCTCCTGGTTCAAGTCATTCCTGGCAGGTAGAGTTGAGTACGTGGCCCTGGGGGACGCAAGGTCACGGCCCCGCATTGTCACATGCGGGGTCCCTCAAGGGTCGGTCCTTGGCCCTACCCTATTTAACATCTACATGCTCCCCCTCGGCCACATCATCGGCAAGCATGGTATCTCCTTCCATTGCTATGCCGATGATACTCAGCTCTACCTGCGCACTAACTCGGTCTCCACATCAGCCCCACACTCAGCTCTGGTAGCCTGACTGGAGGAGACAAAGGCATGGATGGCAGAAAACTTCTTACAACTAAACCATTCCAAAATTGAGGCTATTCTTATCGGAACCCCCCACCAACTCAAACCCCCCTCCATCTCTGGTATTGCATTCTCCGGTCTCACCCTGCCCCTCTCCCCCACTGTCCGCAACCTGGGAGTCATTTTTGACCCCATCCTGTCATTTGAACACCATATCCAATATCTCTGTAGAATCTCCTTTTTTCATCTCAAAAACATCTCCAAACTCCGCTCCACTCTCTCCCCCTCTGACGCTGAAACTTTAGTTCATGCCTTTGTCTCTTCCAGGCTGGATTACTGCAACGCCCTCCTCGTTGGGATCCCGGCAAAAAGCCTTCAAAAGCTTCAGCATATCCAAAATACCGCTGCCAGGATCCTGACGAGGACGCCGAAGCACCAGCACATCACCCCAGTCCTCCGCGATCTTCACTGGCTTCCAATCATCCAATACAAAATCTGCCTCCTCACCTACAAATGCATCCACGGACATGCCCCGGACTATCTCACAGAACTTCTCACTCCTCCGCCCATAACCAGAGCACTCCGGTCCACAGACACCAACCTCCTCTCCATCCCCAGAACTAAACTCCGCCCTACCACCACACCTGAGGGCCCCACAGTCATTGGAGAACTTCAAAAGAGGACTTAAAACTTTTCTGTTTTCTTCTTAACATTGTTTTAACACTGTTTTAACTTTAATGATGTGTGCTTTTATTGTTGTTGTTCTGTAGCACTTTGAGATTTGTATGTAAAGTGCATTACAAATTAAAAGTATTATTATTATTATTACCTGTGAGCAGGCCATTGCAGTAGTCTAACCTACTGGAGACAAATGCATGGATAAGAATCTCCAGGTCTGCTTTAGACACTATGTTTTTGATCCTGGCAATGTTTTTTAGATGGTAAAAAGCTGCTGATGTTACTGATTTGATGTGGCTATTAAAATTTAAGTCTGAGTCCAGTATTACCTCTAGATTTCTGACCTTGTTTGAAGGTTTTAGGGAGAGAGACTGTAGGTGACAGATGACGCTCTCTCTTTGTTTCTGGACCAAAGACAATCATTTCAGTTTTGTCTGCGTTTAGCTGAAGGAAGTTGTTTTGCATCCACTTGAGCCGCTGCTCCTTCACGTAGAGAGGAGCCAGTGAAGGTGTCTATTTGATATGCCTCCTGAACGCCTCAAGATTCCCCCAGATGAGCTGCAGGAGGTGGAGAGGGAGGTGTGTGTGGAGAGGGAGGTGTGTGTGGAGAGGGAGGTGTGTGTGGAGAGGGAGGTGTGTGTGGAGAGGGAGGTGTGTGTGGAGAGGGAGGTGTGTGTGGAGAGGGTGGTGTGTGTGGAGAGGGAGGTGTGTGTGGAGAGGGAGGTGTGTGTGGAGAGGGAGGTGTGTGTGGAGAGGGAGGTGTGTCTGGAGAGGGAGGTGTGTGTGGAGAGGGAGGTGTGTGTGGAGAGGGAGGTGTGTGTGGAGAGGGAGGTGTGTGTGGAGAGGGAGGTGTGTGTGGAGAGGGAGGTGTGTGTGTGGAGAGGGAGGTGTGTCTGGAGAGGGAGGTGTGTGTGGAGAGGGAGGTGTGTGTGGAGAGGGAGGTGTGTCTGGAGAGGGAGGTGTGTGTGGAGAGGGAGGTGTGTGTGGAGAGGGAGGTGTGTGTGGAGAGGGAGGTGTGTCTGGAGAGGGAGGTGTGTCTGGAGAGGGAGGTGTGTGTGGAGAGGGAGGTGTGTGTGTGGAGAGGGAGGTGTGTGTGGAGAGGGAGGTGTGTGTGGAGAGGGAGGTGTGTCTGGAGAGGGAGGTGTGTGTGTGGAGAGGGAGGTGTGTCTGGAGAGGGAGGTGTGTGTGTGGAGAGGGAGGTGTGTCTGGAGAGGGAGGTGTGTGTGGAGAGGGAGGTGTGTGTGTGGAGAGGGAGGTGTGTCTGGAGAGGGAGGTGTGTGTGGAGAGGGAGGTGTGTGTGGAGAGGGAGGTGTGTGTGGAGAGGAGGGGTTGGAGAGGGAGGTGTGTCTGGAGAGGGAGGTGTGTGTGGAGAGGGAGGTGTGTCTGGAGAGGGAGGTGTGTCTGGAGAGGGAGGTGTGTGTGGAGAGGGAGGTGTGTGTGGAGAGGGAGGTGTGTCTGGAGAGGGAGGTGTGTGTGGAGAGGGAGGTGTGTGTGGAGAGGGAGGTGTGTGTAGAGAGGGAGGTGTGTGTGTGGAGAGGGAGGTGTGTGTGGAGAGGGAGGTGTGTCTGGAGAGGGAGGTGTGTCTGGAGAGGGAGGTGTGTCTGGAGAGGGAGGTGTGTCTGGAGAGGGAGGTGTGTCTGGAGAGGGAGGTGTGTGTGGAGAGGGAGGTGTGTGTGGAGAGGGAGGTGTGTCTGGAGAGGGAGGTGTGTGTAGAGAGGGAGGTGTGTCTGGAGAGGGAGGTGTGTCTGGAGAGGGAGGTGTGTGTGGAGAGGGAGGTGTGTCTGGAGAGGGAGGTGTGTCTGGAGAGGGAGGTGTGTCTGGAGAGGGAGGTGTGTCTGGAGAGGGAGGTGTGTCTGGAGAGGGAGGTGTGTGTGGAGAGGGAGGTGTGTGTGGAGAGGGAGGTGTGTGTGTGGAGAGGGAGGTGTGTCTGGAGAGGCAGGTGTGTCTGGAGAGGGAGGTGTGTGTGGAGAGGGAGGTGTGTGTGGAGAGGGAGGTGTGTGTGGAGAGGGAGGTGTGTGTGGAGAGGGAGGTGTGTGTGGAGAGGGAGGTGTGTGTGGAGAGGGAGGTGTGTCTGGAGAGGGAGGTGTGTGTGGAGAGGGAGGTGAGTGTGTGTGGAGAGGGAGGTGTGTGTGGAGAGGGAGGTGTGTCTGGAGAGGGAGGTGTGTCTGGAGAGGGAGGTGTGTGTGGAGAGGGAGGTGTGTGTGGAGAGGGAGGTGTGTGTGGAGAGGGAGGTGTGTCTGGAGAGGGAGGTGTGTCTGGAGAGGGAGGTGTGTGTGGAGAGGGAGGTGTGTGTGTGGAGAGGGAGGTGTGTCTGGAGAGGGAGGTGTGTCTGGAGAGGGAGGTGTGTGTGGAGAGGGAGGTGTGTCTGGAGAGGGAGGTGTGTGTGGAGAGGGAGGTGTGTGTGGAGAGGGAGGTGTGTCTGGAGAGGGAGGTGTGTGTAGAGAGGGAGGTGTGTGTGTGGAGAGGGAGGTGTGTGTGGAGAGGGAGGTGTGTCTGGAGAGGGAGGTGTGTCTGGAGAGGGAGGTGTGTCTGGAGAGGGAGGTGTGTCTGGAGAGGGAGGTGTGTGTGGAGAGGGAGGTGTGTGTGGAGAGGGAGGTGTGTCTGGAGAGGGAGGTGTGTGTAGAGAGGGAGGTGTGTCTGGAGAGGGAGGTGTGTCTGGAGAGGGAGGTGTGTGTGGAGAGGGAGGTGTGTCTGGAGAGGGGAGGTGTGTCTGGAGAGGGAGGTGTGTCTGGAGAGGGAGGTGTGTCTGGAGAGGGAGGTGTGTCTGGAGAGGGAGGTGTGTGTGGAGAGGGAGGTGTGTGTGGAGAGGGAGGTGTGTGTGTGGAGAGGGAGGTGTGTCTGGAGAGGCAGGTGTGTCTGGAGAGGGAGGTGTGTGTGGAGAGGGAGGTGTGTGTGGAGAGGGAGGTGTGTGTGGAGAGGGAGGTGTGTGTGGAGGGTGTGTGGAGGGGAGGTGTGTGTGGAGAGGGAGGTGTGTCTGGAGAGGGAGGTGTGTCTGGAGAGGGAGGTGTGTGTGGAGAGGGAGGTGTGTGTGGAGAGGGAGGTGTGTCTGGAGAGGGAGGTGTGTCTGGAGAGGGAGGTGTGTCTGGAGAGGGAGGTGTGTGTGGAGAGGGAGGTGTGTGTGGAGAGGGAGGTGTGTGTGGAGAGGGAGGTGTGTCTGGAGAGGGAGGTGTGTCTGGAGAGGGAGGTGTGTGTGGAGAGGGAGGTGTGTGTGTGGAGAGGGAGGTGTGTCTGGAGAGGGAGGTGTGTGTGGAGAGGGAGGTGTGTCTGGAGAGGGAGGTGTGTCTGGAGAGGGAGGTGTGTGTGGAGAGGGAGGTGTGTGTGGAGAGGGAGGTGTGTCTGGAGAGGGAGGTGTGTGTGTGGAGAGGGAGGTGTGTCTGGAGAGGGAGGTGTGTGTAGAGAGGGAGGTGTGTGTGTGGAGAGGGAGGTGTGTGTGGAGAGGGAGGTGTGTCTGGAGAGGGAGGTGTGTCTGGAGAGGGAGGTGTGTCTGGAGAGGGAGGTGTGTGTGGAGAGGGAGGTGTGTCTGGAGAGGGAGGTGTGTCTGGAGAGGGAGGTGTGTGTGGAGAGGGAGGTGTGTGTGGAGAGGGAGGTGTGTCTGGAGAGGGAGGTGTGTGTAGAGAGGGAGGTGTGTCTGGAGAGGGAGGTGTGTCTGGAGAGGGAGGTGTGTGTGGAGAGGGAGGTGTGTCTGGAGAGGGAGGTGTGTCTGGAGAGGGAGGTGTGTCTGGAGAGGGAGGTGTGTCTGGAGAGGGAGGTGTGTCTGGAGAGGGAGGTGTGTGTGGAGAGGGAGGTGTGTGTGGAGAGGGAGGTGTGTGTGTGGAGAGGGAGGTGTGTCTGGAGAGGCAGGTGTGTCTGGAGAGGGAGGTGTGTGTGGAGAGGGAGGTGTGTGTGGAGAGGGAGGTGTGTGTGGAGAGGGAGGTGTGTGTGGAGAGGGAGGTGTGTCTGGAGAGGGAGGTGTGTCTGGAGAGGGAGGTGTGTGTGGAGAGGGAGGTGTGTGTGGAGAGGGAGGTGTGTCTGGAGAGGGAGGTGTGTCTGGAGAGGGAGGTGTGTGTGGAGAGGGAGGTGTGTGTGGAGAGGGAGGTGTGTGTGGAGAGGGAGGTGTGTCTGGAGAGGGAGGTGTGTCTGGAGAGGGAGGTGTGTGTGGAGAGGGAGGTGTGTGTGTGGAGAGGGAGGTGTGTCTGGAGAGGGAGGTGTGTCTGGAGAGGGAGGTGTGTGTGGAGAGGGAGGTGTGTCTGGAGAGGGAGGTGTGTGTGGAGAGGGAGGTGTGTGTGTGAGAGGGAGGTGTGTCTGGAGAGGGAGGTGTGTGTAGAGAGGGAGGTGTGTGTGTGGAGAGGGAGGTGTGTGTGGAGAGGGAGGTGTGTCTGGAGAGGGAGGTGTGTCTGGAGAGGGAGGTGTGTCTGGAGAGGGAGGTGTGTCTGGAGAGGGAGGTGTGTGTGGAGAGGGAGGTGTGTGTGGAGAGGGAGGTGTGTCTGGAGAGGGAGGTGTGTGTAGAGAGGGAGGTGTGTCTGGAGAGGGAGGTGTGTCTGGAGAGGGAGGTGTGTGTGGAGAGGGAGGTGTGTCTGGAGAGGGAGGTGTGTCTGGAGAGGGAGGTGTGTCTGGAGAGGGAGGTGTGTCTGGAGAGGGAGGTGTGTCTGGAGAGGGAGGTGTGTGTGGAGAGGGAGGTGTGTGTGGAGAGGGAGGTGTGTGTGTGGAGAGGGAGGTGTGTCTGGAGAGGCAGGTGTGTCTGGAGAGGGAGGTGTGTGTGGAGAGGGAGGTGTGTCTGGAGAGGCAGGTGTGTGTGGAGAGGGAGGTGTGTCTGGAGAGGGAGGTGTGTGTGGAGAGGGAGGTGTGTCTGGAGAGGGAGGTGTGTGTGGAGAGGGAGGTGTGTGTGGAGAGGGAGGTGTGTGTGTGAGAGGGAGGTGTGTGTGGAGAGGGAGGTGTGTCTGGAGAGGGAGGTGTGTCTGGAGAGGGAGGTGTGTGTGGAGAGGGAGGTGTGTGTGGAGAGGGAGGTGTGTGTGTGGAGAGGGAGGTGTGTCTGGAGAGGCAGGTGTGTCTGGAGAGGGAGGTGTGTGTGGAGAGGGAGGTGTGTCTGGAGAGGGAGGTGTGTGTGGAGAGGGAGGTGTGTGTGGAGAGGGAGGTGTGTGTGGAGAGGGAGGTGTGTGTGGAGAGGGAGGTGTGTCTGGAGAGGGAGGTGTGTCTGGAGAGGGAGGTGTGTGTGGAGAGGGAGGTGTGTGTGGAGAGGGAGGTGTGTCTGGAGAGGGAGGTGTGTCTGGAGAGGGAGGTGTGTGTGGAGAGGGAGGTGTGTGTGGAGAGGGAGGTGTGTGTGGAGAGGGAGGTGTGTCTGGAGAGGGAGGTGTGTCTGGAGAGGGAGGTGTGTGTGGAGAGGGAGGTGTGTGTGTGGAGAGGGAGGTGTGTCTGGAGAGGGAGGTGTGTCTGGAGAGGGAGGTGTGTGTGGAGAGGGAGGTGTGTCTGGAGAGGGAGGTGTGTCTGGAGAGGGAGGTGTGTGTGGAGAGGGAGGTGTGTGTGGAGAGGGAGGTGTGTGTGGAGAGGGAGGTGTGTCTGGAGAGGGAGGTGTGTGTGTGTGAGAGGGAGGTGTGTCTGGAGAGGGAGGTGTGTCTGGAGAGGGAGGTGTGTGTGTGGAGAGGGAGGTGTGTCTGGAGAGGGAGGTGTGTGTGGAGAGGGAGGTGTGTCTGGAGAGGGAGGTGTGTGTGGAGAGGGAGGTGTGTGTGGAGAGGGAGGTGTGTCTGGAGAGGGAGGTGTGTGTGGAGAGGGAGGTGTGTCTGGAGAGGGAGAGGTGTGTGTGGAGAGGGAGGTGTGTCTGGAGAGGGAGGTGTGTCTGGAGAGGGAGGTGTGTGTGGAGAGGGAGGTGTGTGTGGAGAGGGAGGTGTGTGTGGAGAGGGAGGTGTGTGTGGAGAGGGAGGTGTGTCTGGAGAGGGAGGTGTGTCTGGAGAGGGAGGTGTGTGTAGAGAGGGAGGTGTGTCTGGAGAGGGAGGTGTGTCTGGAGAGGGAGGTGTGTGTGGAGAGGGAGGTGTGTCTGGAGAGGGAGGTGTGTCTGGAGAGGGAGGTGTGTCTGGAGAGGGAGGTGTGTCTGGAGAGGGAGGTGTGTCTGGAGAGGGAGGTGTGTGTGGAGAGGGAGGTGTGTGTGTGGGAGGGAGGTGTGTGTGTGGAGGGAGGTGTGTGTGGAGAGGGAGGTGTGTGTGGAGAGGGAGGTGTGTGTGGAGAGGGAGGTGTGTGTCTGGAGAGGGAGGTGTGTGTGGGAGAGGGAGGTGTGTGTGTGGAGAGGGAGGTGTGTCTGGAGAGGGAGGTGTGTCTGGAGAGGGAGGTGTGTGTGGAGAGGGAGGTGTGTGTGGAGAGGGAGGTGTGTGTGGAGAGGGGGGTGTGTGTGAGAGGGAGGTGTGTCTGGAGAGGGAGGTGTGTGTGTGGAGAGGGAGGTGTGTGTGGAGAGGGAGGTGTGTCTGGAGAGGGAGGTGTGTGTGTGGAGAGGGAGGTGTGTGTGGAGAGGGAGGTGTGTCTGGAGAGGGAGGTGTGTCTGGAGAGGGAGGTGTGTGTGGAGAGGGAGGTGTGTGTGGAGAGGGAGGTGTGTCTGGAGAGGGAGGTGTGTGTGTGGAGAGGGAGGTGTGTCTGGAGAGGGAGGTGTGTCTGGAGAGGGAGGTGTGTGTGTGGAGAGGGAGGTGTGTCTGGAGAGGGAGGTGTGTCTGGAGAGGGAGGTGTGTCTGGAGAGGGAGGTGTGTCTGGAGAGGGAGGTGTGTGTGGAGAGGGAGGTGTGTGTAGAGAGGGAGGTGTGTCTGGAGAGGGAGGTGTGTCTGGAGAGGGAGGTGTGTCTGGAGAGGGAGGTGTGTGTGGAGAGGGAGGTGTGTGTGGAGAGGGAGGTGTGTCTGGAGAGGGAGGTGTGTCTGGAGAGGGAGGTGTGTGTGGAGAGGGAGGTGTGTGTGGAGAGGGAGGTGTGTGTGGAGAGGGAGGTGTGTCTGGAGAGGGAGGTGTGTCTGGAGAGGGAGGTGTGTGTGGAGAGGGAGGTGTGTGTGTGGAGAGGGAGGTGTGTTGGAGAGGGAGGTGTGTCTGGAGAGGGAGGTGTGTCTGGAGAGGGAGGTGTGTGTGGAGAGGGAGGTGTGTCTGGAGAGGGAGGTGTGTCTGGAGAGGGAGGTGTGTGTGGAGAGGGAGGTGTGTGTGGAGAGGGAGGTGTGTCTGGAGAGGGAGGTGTGTGTGTGGAGAGGGAGGTGTGTCTGGAGAGGGAGGTGTGTCTGGAGAGGGAGGTGTGTGTGGAGAGGGAGGTGTGTGTGTGGAGAGGGAGGTGTGTCTGGAGAGGGAGGTGTGTGTGGAGAGGGAGGTGTGTGTGGAGAGGGAGGTGTGTGTGGAGAGGGAGGTGTGTCTGGAGAGGGAGGTGTGTGTGTGGAGAGGGAGGTGTGTGTGGAGAGGGAGGTGTGTCTGGAGAGGGAGGTGTGTGTGGAGAGGGAGGTGTGTGTCTGGAGAGGGAGGTGTGTGTGGAGAGGGAGGTGTGTGTCTGGAGAGGGAGGTGTGTGTGGAGAGGGAGGTGTGTGTGTGGAGAGGGAGGTGTGTGTGGAGAGGGAGGTGTGTCTGGAGAGGGAGGTGTGTCTGGAGAGGGAGGTGTGTCTGGAGAGGGAGGTGTGTGTGGAGAGGGAGGTGTGTCTGGAGAGGGAGGTGTGTGTGGAGAGGGAGGTGTGTGTGGAGAGGGAGGTGTGTGTGGAGAGGGAGGTGTGTCTGGAGAGGGAGGTGTGTGTGGAGAGGGAGGTGTGTGTGGAGAGGGAGGTGTGTCTGGAGAGGGAGGTGTGTGTGTGGAGAGGGAGGTGTGTCTGGAGAGGGAGGTGTGTCTGGAGAGGGAGGTGTGTGTGGAGAGGGAGGTGTGTGTGGAGAGGGAGGTGTGTCTGGAGAGGGAGGTGTGTGTGGAGAGGGAGGTGTGTCTGGAGAGGGAGGTGTGTGTGTGGAGAGGGAGGTGTGTCTGGAGAGGGAGGTGTGTCTGGAGAGGGAGGTGTGTGTGGAGAGGGAGGTGTGTGTGGAGAGGGAGGTGTGTCTGGAGAGGGAGGTGTGTGTGGAGAGGGAGGTGTGTCTGGAGAGGGAGGTGTGTGTAGAGAGGGAGGTGTGTGTGGAGAGGGAGGTGTGTGTGGAGAGGGAGGTGTGTGTGGAGAGGGAGGTGTGTGTGGAGAGGGAGGTGTGTCTGGAGAGGGAGGTGTGTCTGGAGAGGGAGGTGTGTGTGGAGAGGGAGGTGTGTGTGTGGAGAGGGAGGTGTGTCTGGAGAGGGAGGTGTGTCTGGAGAGGGAGGTGTGTGTGGAGAGGGAGGTGTGTCTGGAGAGGGAGGTGTGTGTGGAGAGGGAGGTGTGTGTGGAGAGGGAGGTGTGTCTGGAGAGGGAGGTGTGTGTGTGGAGAGGGAGGTGTGTTGGAGAGGAGGGGTGTGTCTGGAGAGGGAGGTGTGTGTGGAGAGGGAGGTGTGTGTGTGGAGAGGGAGGTGTGTCTGGAGAGGGAGGTGTGTGTGGAGAGGGAGTGTGTGTGGAGAGGGAGGTGTGTGTGGAGAGGGAGGTGTGTGTGGAGAGGGAGGTGTGTCTGGAGAGGGAGGTGTGTGTGGAGAGGGAGGTGTGTGTGGAGAGGGAGGTGTGTCTGGAGAGGGAGGTGTGTGTGTGGAGAGGGAGGTGTGTGTGGAGAGGGAGGTGTGTCTGGAGAGGGAGGTGTGTGTGGAGAGGGAGGTGTGTGTCTGGAGAGGGAGGTGTGTGTGGAGAGGGAGGTGTGTGTCTGGAGAGGGAGGTGTGTGTGGAGAGGGAGGTGTGTGTGGAGAGGGAGGTGTGTGTGGAGAGGGAGGTGTGTCTGGAGAGGGAGGTGTGTCTGGAGAGGGAGGTGTGTCTGGAGAGGGAGGTGTGTGTGGAGAGGGAGGTGTGTCTGGAGAGGGAGGTGTGTGTGGAGAGGGAGGTGTGTGTGGAGAGGGAGGTGTGTGTGGAGAGGGAGGTGTGTCTGGAGAGGGAGGTGTGTGTGGAGAGGGAGGTGTGTGTGGAGAGGGAGGTGTGTCTGGAGAGGGAGGTGTGTGTGTGGAGAGGGAGGTGTGTCTGGAGAGGGAGGTGTGTCTGGAGAGGGAGGTGTGTGTGGAGAGGGAGGTGTGTGTGGAGAGGGAGGTGTGTCTGGAGAGGGAGGTGTGTGTGGAGAGGGAGGTGTGTCTGGAGAGGGAGGTGTGTCTGGAGAGGGAGGTGTGTGTGGAGAGGGAGGTGTGTCTGGAGAGGGAGGTGTGTGTGTGGAGAGGGAGGTGTGTCTGGAGAGGGAGGTGTGTCTGGAGAGGGAGGTGTGTGTGGAGAGGGAGGTGTGTGTGGAGAGGGAGGTGTGTCTGGAGAGGGAGGTGTGTGTGGAGAGGGAGGTGTGTGTGGAGAGGGAGGTGTGTGTGGAGAGGGAGGTGTGTGTGGAGAGGGAGGTGTGTGTGGAGAGGGAGGTGTGTGTGGAGAGGGAGGTGTCTCAGACGGCTGCCTCACCCGGCAACGGATGAAGCGGAAGAAAATGGATAGCTGGGGTATACCTGACACCATGTGCTAAAGTTCAAGCTGTATGAATACTTTGGAGAGTAGATAACCCTGTCCCTGTGTACCTGTGTGAGTACCTGTGTGAGTACCTGTGTATACCTGTGTGAGTACCTGTGTACCTGTGTGAGTACCTGTGTACCTGTGTGAGTACCTGTGTGAGTACCTGTGTGAGTACCTGTGTACCTGTGTGAGTACCTGTGTACCTGTGTGAGTACCTGTGTATACCTGTGTGAGTACCTGTGTGAGTACCTGTGTGAGTACCTGTGTATACCTGTGTGAGTACCTGTGTACCTGTGTGAGTACCTGTGTATACCTGTGTGAGTACCTGTGTACCTGTGTGAGTACCTGTGTGTACCTGTGTGAGTACCTGTGTGTACCTGTGTGAGTACCTGTGTGTACCTGTGTGAGTACCTGTGTGTACCTGTGAGTACCTGTGTGAGTACCTGTGTGTACCTGTGAGTACCTGTGTGAGTACCTTTCTTCCTGTGTGTGTACACCTGTGTCAGTACCTTTGTACATGTGTGTCAGTACCTTTGTACCTGTGTGTCAGTACCTTTGTACCTGTGTCAGTACCTTTGTACCTGTGTGTCAGTACCTTTGTACCTGTGTGTCAGTACCTTTGTACCTGTGTGTCAGTACCTTTGTACCTGTGTCAGTACCTTTGTACCTGTGTGTCAGTACCTTTGTACCTGTGTCAGTACCTTTGTACCTGTGTCAGTACCTTTGTACCTGTGTGTCAGTACCTTTGTACCTGTGTCAGTACCTTTGTACCTGTGTCAGTACCTTTGTACCTGTGTGTCAGTACCTTTGTACCTGTGTCAGTACCTTTGTACCTGTGTGTCAGTACCTTTGTACCTGTGTGTCAGTACCTTTGTACCTGTGTCAGTACCTTTGTACCTGTGTGTCAGTACCTTTGTACCTGTGTGTCAGTACCTTTGTACCTGTGTCAGTACCTTTGTACCTGTGTGTCAGTACCTTTGTACCTGTGTGTCAGTACCTTTGTACCTGTGTGTCAGTACCTTTGTACCTGTGTCAGTACCTTTGTACCTGTGTGTCAGTACCTTTGTACCTGTGTCAGTACCTTTGTACCTGTGTCAGTACCTTTGTACCTGTGTGTCAGTACCTTTGTACCTGTGTGTCAGTACCTTTGTACCTGTGTGTCAGTACCTTTGTACCTGTGTCAGTACCTTTGTACCTGTGTGTCAGTACCTTTGTACCTGTGTCAGTACCTTTGTACCTGTGTCAGTACCTTTGTACCTGTGTGTCAGTACCTTTGTACCTGTGTCCCAGGACCACTACACGGTGGACATGTGTCAGTACCTGTGTGTCAGTACCTTTGTACCTGTATGTCAGTACCGATGTGTCACTACCTTTGTACCTTTGTACCTGTGTGTCAGTACCGATGTGTCACTACCTTTGTACCTGTGTGTCAGTACCAATGTGTCACTACCTTTGTACCTTTGTACCTGTGTGTCAGTACCAATGTGTCACTACCTTTGTACCTTTGTACCTGTGTGTCAGTACCAATGTGTCACTACCTTTGTACCTTTGTACCTGTGTCCTAGGACCACTACACGGTGGACATGTGTCCGTCTGCCTCGGAGCCACAGTCGCCCTGCCTCAGCCGCCTCAGGCCGCGCCTGCGCCCTGTGCGAGAGGCGTCTGTGGACTCTGTGCAGAGATTGGACCGTCTGAGCACGGGGGCGGAGCCTGAGGCCAGAGAGGCGGGGCCTGCGGAGGGGGAGGAGCCTGAGCCATGGCCCCTGAACAGAGACGTCACTCTGTCCACGCCACTACGGTCGCCTCCCATCATCGACCTGGAGGCGGAGCCAGAGAGCAGGAAGGTCCACAGCACGGTTAGTGCTCCTCCTATTAGTGCTAATAGTGCTAATGCTACTGCGCAATGCTACTGCTTCTACTGCTAATAGTGATTATATGGCTAATGCTACTGCGCAATGCTACTGCTAATAGTGCTAATGCTACTGCTAAAGCCTAGTGTATACTTGCGCGGCGTGGCTTACGTTAGCGGTTGCGGTGGACCTACGTAAGCACAATTGATGTTATACTGGCGCGTTCCCCTTACGGAGTTTTGAGGAGAATGTTGTAATCCCACAACAAACCACATGAGGGCGATCACACAGGAGCGGCCCCATTTACGCTGCTACTTTGTCCTCTTCAGAACAACAATAACAAACAAAGCTGTTTGAGCTCATTACACGTGTTTCTACTGTAGGTTTATGTGATAGTTTTATGGATTCATTATTTTATAAGTCATTTCAACTGTGATGCTGTGAATAAAGACACAGTTCTTGTTGGAAACATAGTTATTATTAAATAGTTTTCAGCACAAACAGCAAAACAATAATAGTGGTAAATATCTGAGACAAACATGAACGATTTACGAGTGTATATATGTTAGATATAAGTTATATATATGTTAGATATAAGTTATATATATGTTAGATATAAGTTATATATATGTTAGATATACGTTATATATATGTTAGATATAAGTTATATATATGTTAGATATAAGTTATATATATGTTAGATATAAGTTATATATATGTTAGATATAAGTTATATATATGTTAGATATAAGTTATATATATGTTAGATATAAGTTATATATATGTTAGATATAAGTTATATATATGTTAGATATAAGTTATATATATGTTAGATATAAGTGATATATATGTTAGATATAAGTTATATATATGTTAGATATAAGTGATATATATGTTAGATATAAGTTATATATATGTTAGATATAAGTTATATATATGTTAGATATAAGTTATATATATGTTAGATATAAGTTATATATATGTTAGATATAAGTTATATATATGTTAGATATAAGTTATATATATGTTAGATATAAGTTATATATATGTTAGATATAAGTTATATATATGTTAGATATAAGTTATATATATGTTAGATATAAGTTATATATATGTTAGATATAAGTTATATATATGTTAGATATAAGTTATATATATGTTAGATATAAGTGATATATATGTTAGATATAAGTTATATATATGTTAGATATAAGTGATATATATGTTAGATATAAGTTATATATATGTTAGATATAAGTGATATATATGTTAGATATAAGTTATATATATGTTAGATAGTCCACAGTCTGCTCCATAGAGCCTCGTCCATGCTCCTGCTGCAGCCGCTCCGTGCTTCCTTCCAATACACACACACGGACCAATCACAGCGGAGCTTCTCTCACACATGGACCAATCACAGCGGAGCTTCCTTGCGGCGACTCTTACGTAGTTAGAAAATTTTGATGCTGCGCGGCAGGCGACGTAAGGGCCTTGCGGTGACCAACGCGTTGTGCAAGTGACGTCACGTCACCTCCGTAAGCTCCGCGCGAGTATACAGTAGGCTTAACAGTGCTAATAGTGCTAATGCTACTGCTAACAGTGCTAATATTGCTAATGCTACTGCTAACAGTGCTAATATTGCTAATGCTACTGCTAACAGTGCTAATATTGCTAATGCTACTGCTAACAGTGCTAATAGTGCTAATGCTAC